CTGACACACGTGTTCAGCAGGGGTTAATCAAGGATTAAAAACCAGCTTAGGGTTTGATAATGAAGAACTGTAACCAGTTATAGGGACCAATTTTTCTAGTTTACACAAAGGCACCATATGTGCTAATGCGCCTGGATCTCCACTTAATTTTTCCTGTGTCCCCTTAGGTTCTCTGTGGTACATTAATGCAGTGAAATAATGTCTTCTTAAAAGAATATGAGATAACTATATGTTCTGTTCTGAAAAGATCCAAAATGTTCTACTATACAAAAAGGAAGAAGTTGCAGAGAATGCTCCCAATTTTGCACAATTACAAGTAATAATAACACATTATTATAAGACTAGGAAAAATAAATTTTGGATATAAATACCAAACTGTTATTATTAGTTGTCTTTGGTGTTTCCAAATATGTACTATATATTTCTGTAGTGTTTGATTTTTTTAATAAATTTTCATTATGCTTATAAAGAAATGAACTAATAAAGATATTTTAGAGTCAGATGCCATTTTCCATATTAGATTATTCTATTGGTAAATTAATAATAATGATAGCTAATATTTACTGAGTGCTTTAAATCTCTAGGCTCTAGTCTAAGTGCACATATATCAGCAAAATTATACTGGAAGTTAGGTACTACTATTGTTTTACAGGTGAGCCCAGAGAGGTTATTTCTCTTAATGTACCACTGTTCTCTCCTACTTGAAAATGTGGTTATCTTTGAATTTATCTTAGCTCTATGTATTCAGGTGATTCCAATCCATACATTTAACTATGTCCACAGTCTACCCTACATCCATTTACTCTCAGCTTTTTCTACATACATGAAAACTACTGTAGTTCAGATCTTCATTATTCTCAACTGGGATATTACAGTATGTTTTCTGCTATATAATTCTTCAGGATTAAAACAGCTAAGCAAAGCTCCAATCATATTGATTGTCTTTCATAATATTTTCAGACATGTAATATAATGTAACATATGCCATATTAATATACTACTAACATAATAATATAATTTTACATATTTATATATGTTAAAATATAATGGTATCTACTACTAGACCTGTAATATACTATTGAGCACCTCTTCAGTGGTCCTAACCTAAAAATCACCCTTAATTCCTATTACCCCTACTACTCTGAGTCATTCTAAGTTCTTGTTAAGTTATAGTATTCACTGTTTTTGAAAGCAGCCAACATTCTTCCTGACTCTAAATCTTACTTATGCTAATGTCTCTCTTGGAATGTCTCCACAACCCCAATTCACCCACTGAAATCATACTTTCCCATTTAAACTCAAGTTCAGACATCACCTTTTTAATGAAATCTTTTATGATTTCTTGCCAACAGTCATTGCTTCTTAGTTTAAATTGCTTAATCTCATTGCTTCAGCATTTATTATGACTGTTCAACAAGTATTAGAGTTAATTATATACCTGTCTAAGCCTAGTTCCCTGAGAAAGAGGGCTATGTCTTGCTCATTTGTGCTTATTTCACTCAGTACAGTGATATAAACCTTGTGATCAATATATATTTGTCAGATTGCATTGTATAGAGTTCATTCTACCTGGTGTTTTCACATTATTCCTTGGCTATCCCCTTAATAGATAGTTTGAACAACCTGAGGCATGCTCAATAAACAGCAATACACTGATCATATTATTAAAATAAGTTGTTTGTTATTTCAAGATATAATTATCGAACAACTACTATGTGCAGAAAATTCTGTGAGTCCCTGAAAGGAAGAAATAGAAAAAAATAAAATAATTAATAAAGCATTATGTAAATGTTTATATAATTTGCACTCCAGTGATGGAGACAAACATATAAACATATAAGTAAGATGTAATTTAGTACAGAACTAAATTAATATAAAATAGAGACCCAAACAAAGTGCAAAAGAGCAGAGAGAAGGGTATTCATTCTAAACCAAAGTATCAAAGAAGGCTTCACCCTTGAAGGAAAACAATGATTTGGCTTCAAAACTGTGGAGAAACATTTCAAGCTGAGCAAACAGTATGATTAAGGAAACCTAAAATTGCCTGTTTTAGGGATAATGGATTATATTGTATTGGCAAGAATTAGGGTATGAAAAGATATAGGAGTGTAGAGAGTTGATAGGATGCAGATCCTAGAGAACCCTCAATGCCATGCTCAGAATTTGGAACTTATACTTTATGAAATGAGAAAGCTCTGAAGGTGTAGTTTTGTTTTTGTTTTGTAGTGTTTTGTGTTTTGGTTTTGGTTTTGGTAAAGTGAAATCCACTGAAAGTATGTTCTTTTTTTTTTCTTTTTGTGAACTGTGGGGTTGGGTGGAGTAGAGCTGGAAAGTTGACAATCTGATATGGCTAGCTGACATAGTCATCTGATATGTGATTTTGATAACGACACATCAATTAAACAGACATTTATTGAGCATTTTCTGTTTGCCAGTCATTGCATTAAGTACTGGGTATAAATATATTGATATACTAAGATATTAATAAAGCAACAATTCTCTCAAGTCTGTTATGGAAGATAAACATGGTAAAAAGTAACTATAATAAGGAGTTATTATTTAAAGGATACAGAATTTCAGTTTGGGAAGATGTGAAAATTTCTGAAGTTGAATGGCAGTGATGGTTGCATAACAATGTGAAGGTACTTACTGCCACTTAGCTGTACACTTAAAATGGTTAAAATGGTAAATTTTATATTATATACCTTTTATCACAATAAAAAGTAATTGCAATACAATAAGCCTAAAGTGAAAATGAAAGTACAAGCTTTAGTAGTATTACAAAGGAGAGTAATTAATTGTATGGGCATGAATGAGGAAAAGCAGATGGTGTTACAAAAATCTTCCTAGAAAATTCCTGCAATTTGCAACAACATGGATGAGGATGAACTTTGAGGCCATTAGACTAAGTGAAATAAGTTAGACAAAGAAAGACAAATACTGTATGATCTTATTTATATACAGATTCTAAAAATGTCAAACACAAAGAAACAGAGTAGATTGGTTGCCAGAGGCTGGAGTGTGGGGGAAATGGGGAGATGTTTGTCAAAGAAAGTTTTTCTGTTATAAAATGAATAAAATTAGGGGATCTAATGTACAATATGGGCACTATAGTTAACAACACTGTATAGTATACTTGAAACTTACTAAGACAGTAGGTCATAAATGTTCTCACCACACACACACACAAATAGTAACCATGGGGATGGGGATGAATTGGGAGATTGGGATTGACATATATACACTAATATGTATAAAATAGATAACTAATAAGAACCTGCTGTATAAAAAAATTAAATTTAATTTTAAAAAACTAATGGTAACTATGTGAGGTAATAGGTTTGTTAGTTAACCTTATAGTGGTAATCATTTCATAATATATACATATATCAAATATTCACATTGTATACCTTAAACTTACACATGTTATTTGTCAATTATATCTCAATAAAGCTAGAAAAAAATTTTTTAAATCTTCCTAGAGCAAAAAATTTACCTAGAATTTGAAGGGTGACTACAAAGAGCTTGTCAGCTGGAGGTGGAGGAAGAAAAGGGAAGCAGGCAGTAGTAGAGATGGGGACGAGGCTGCAGAGAAAGGCAAATCTGAGTTAGGGATGACTAGAGCCTGGGCTTCGTCCTGTACACAATGATGGTCAGCAAAGGTCTTTATACACACAGATATCTTTCTTT